CCCCCCCCCCCCCCCCCCCCCCCCCCCCCAGGACCTGCTATTTTAACATGTATATAAGTCACATTTAACTTAATTTATCTGGTTTATGTACTGCATTATTAGGATTTTGGCAATCTATACACAATGATTGAGACAAGAGATGAATTTATCACAGACTACTTTGAACAGGTATATTATTGCTGGTTTTATCTTCATGGGAGGTTGTACTGCATAGCCTTCTCCATGGAAGTCATTTAAATAGTACCACCAATGCTCCGGAAGTGGTAAGCGGCACAAGTCTGAGATGGCATATAGCCTGTATGATTAGAGGCGGTACCTTTTCCATTGGTGACATACCGCCAGATGTCATGTTGCATTGGGATACAAACCGGGCTAGTTGACTTTGACTTCAAGCTTGTGAGCACACCTTGATAAAGCTGCCAGCTTGCCTCATGCAGCTTCTGCGAATCCGGTTTTGGTGGTCTTTCATAACCTCTGTAAAGAAAATTTCAGTTTTACTTTTCAATTACCATTTTTAATGTTATACAATATGCATCATGAATTCTAGTGAATTATGAATACAACTTCTATCAATGGCATATTTAATAATCTACTAATATATGTATATATTGTATGCTATGTGCTATTGCACTTGACCACTGCAGTTAATAGCAATACTGAGTTAGCATTTCTATTTGTACAGCAATATGAACAATATCAAATACTAAAATTAGCGAAATACATAAATACTATTAAACAGTCCATAATAACCTCAATAAATCTTCGCTAAGATGAAGTGAAGGCTCCCAACTACAGCACTCCAGCGGCCAGCCATCCCACTTGATGAGATATTCGTGGTCCTGAACAAAAATAAATAGAAAATTAACTGATAAATATATAGTAAAAGCTGAAAACATATAGGGAACATACCTATTTATTTCGTACTTACATTTTTTACTTTTCTCTTAGAAATGATCCTTTCAACCTTGTACGTAGATGGAAGGGTCGCCCGCTTTGCTTTCGGAGTTGTATTGTATAAAATAACTGACAAAAAATTGTTTAATTCCCTGTAGTTCACTGCTGGCCTCTTTCGCATCGCCATATTGGATTTTACAGACTAGCAAATATTACACCAAGTATATACCATTAATAGAGAAACCCGCTGACCTGAATGTTTTACACATGACCGAAATAGTTGGCGATGTATAGTTTAGGATCCAGATGTGTAGCTACTCTGTAGATAAGCTGGAAATAAATCATTATTATTCTTATTATCCTGCAAAAAAAAGAAATACAATAAATGTCAATTAGTGCTTGCCAGAGATAATTTGGTGAACTTTAACAGTGGCAGTTACAAATGCAATCACAAAATGTTCCTTTGTTCAATGAATGTAAATGGAATGAGTATCCTGCAACAAAATGTACTGTTATATAGCCTGTTCAATGTATTGTTAATCTTTCAAGGTAACTGTTTATCACCACTGCAATTTCATTGTGCCTAGGCAATTTCATCCTGAAGACAGTTACCAACTCATTTAGCTACAATGCAACAAACTTACACTGTACTTCGTTATTTTACTCAATCTGTTATGTGCCTTCAGTTGGTACAGTAATGCAAGAATTATAAGTATGTATTCAAATAGTAAATATATTTTTTACAGATCAAGAGTTTTACTTTTGTGGCTGTGGTTGGCAACCAAGAAAGTTAAATTGGACAATGGAGGATCTGAAATGGATTGTTCAAACAACCACACTGTTCTGTTCAATGATATGTCTGGACCTGACAACTCTACATTTCGAACAGTGAAAAAAAGTATTGTTGTTCATGAGGATTCTTGGCCCAAGTTAACCTACAATCATAGTACATGGGAACAAAACTATGACAAATATCCAATTCCGATGTACAGTAAAGACGAAGAACCACCCAAACGAATCAAGCAAGTACATCTGACCACTACTGTAATGAACCAAAGGCACAATGTGCTCTCTTAATGCCTGTTATAGTGGTATAGAAAACAATGGTCGAGAAGATCTTGTACCTGTGCCAAGATCCCCAGCAAGTTTAGATGGGAACATAAAGGTGAAATTGATAAACACATGTCCAATACACAGTTATTTGACAATTTCTCACCTGTATTTTAACCTTTATAATGATATGTGTAACCAGCTGGCACTTCCATGTGTTCAATATGCCCAATATTTAACCGAGACATTATCCCAGTTATAGAAATTAGAGTTTGGCCCTTGGAAAAATACCACTGGCTCCAACAGTTTGCAACGATTGATTTTTCAAAGTCATCCACTGTAGATATTTGGGGCAGTGAAGAGGACATGTTTGTGTCATACTTAGCCCCAGTCTTGCCTTGAAACCATATTCATTCAGCAGATTGTCCTCAGAAAAACAAACACAGCAAGTCTAGAGCAATTTTCATTGTTTCAAGAGACATGGAAAAGAAAAAAAAATGAAACTAAATTTGAGGCAATCTTCAACAAGGGGTTTTGTCCAGAAGTCACAAAATGTGATGCAATATACTCCACCAGCAAGTGCTCAAACTAGAATGAGTGAAGATCGTCTTGCACTGTCAGACAACTTTTGGTATCGGTCTGTAATTTGTGATGGCTTACATACTTCCCAAGCAAGAGCATTTACAAATGGTCCGCATGGGTTTTGCCCATTTTCCTTGCCAACTTGACGATGGCATGTCAACCTCAAGCCAGGTGATCTTCCAGAAAGGCTTGAGCTATCCATATCAACATATCAACTCATACGGGTTACATTTTGGAATGGAAATCACTTTAATGCATAAATCTACTACAATAAAAGATGGTTACACTTATGATGGCCTCCAAAGTGTTCTGTTACAACCTATCCCTATCTATTCTGCTGAAGTACAGACTGGGTACATCATGTCATCATGTGTATACTTCAAAGATCCTCCTGTTTAATGAAATTGGAAAAGTGAGGGTTCTAACTATGATGAGCTAAGTTAGAGTAAAGCGGTGCAGCTAATGCTATAGCTTTTGAAATCAGTGGCGTAGCCAGGGGGGGTGAGGGGGCACTCCCCAATCACCACCAAAACCATTCTCTGAAAAAGGCTAAATCCATAGAGAAATTGGGGGGGTACATGTTACATGCTCGAAGCTGAAACTGATTAAGTACGCATTGACTCAGGAAAACTACGAGGAACTGGACACCGGAGGATGTTGATTTGTAAAATCTTGTCGAAGCAGTTGTAGATATGGTTCCAAGAAAAATAGATTTAGCTTAGATTTACATGTATCTATACGTATTATCATAGCATGAATATTCTTCTCAGACTTATTCTGTATCGTATAAAAAAGAAACACAATTTTGAAAATGCGGAAATGGTGTCTCATAGAACCTAGAATGATCGAACCTCACATTGGGATTTTCTCCCACCAGCATCACAGGGGGGAAATAAGGTGACACTGATTCCTCCTCTTGTTTTTCAAGGTGATTTTTCCAATTTATTTAATTCCGAGTAGAAATATCTAGGAAAATTTATGTCTTTGAGGTACTTTATACTCTTTGGAATTCTGCAAGATTTCACCCCCAAAATGCTTGAAATTGTATTTCAGGGACTCTAGATTGGAATAATATCTAGAATATCTTTAGTGAGGGTCTAGATGGGGGTCTGAAAAACAGTAAAAATTTGTATTTTGATGCTAACAAATAAATAACATTTTGGTATTTTAACAGTAAATCTTTGAAAAGTGTTCTGAAATGTTAAACAGTATTTTTCCCTCACGATTCATGCTAAATTTTTAGTGTTTTCACAACTAACAGTAACCGAAATTGAGTGAATCGCAACTCACAATATACCCCATCAAACCCTGTCAGAAAGATGCAGAGTGAATATCGTGACGGGCAAGTTTCTTCTTGGTTGCCCGTATGGGCAAGTTGCTTCGCCACAAAAAGCTGGCCAGCTTTCAGTTAATATTATTGTTGGATAGATTTTTTGTCAACTAAAAATATGATTACTCTGTTTATACCCGGATTCTCATTTACACAAATATTCTCATTTACACAAATATTCACAACGAAACAATGAACTCTGTCACTGATTTAATAAAATATTTTTTATATTCATCGATTTCGATTCAAGTAAAAGCCATTTTCGTAATTTTCATGCATGTGGTTTTTCAAATGTGCGCCCACAGTTCCACTAACCATAAGGCGTAATGAAGCACTTCATGTAAAGAAATTGTCGTACATATTGTTACAAAACAAACAGTAAAAAAATTTACTATTTCAATGGACAATGGATAGATAATAGATATCTAACCAATTTTAAAGGCTGTTCGACAACATTGGCTCAAGCTGGGAAATCATCTGCATCAAATTCATCTCAGAAAACATCTACTCAGAAAAATAAAGAGTACGATATTAAAAAACGATTGCGACAGTTCGTTGTTGACTAAATTGTTTGATTATATTACGCATTGATTCTCTTTTTGGTTATTAAATGTTTATTCATGATATGATAACGAAATAAAATAATGTTGATTAGTGTTACATGAAATAAGTGAACTTGATTCAAATTTTGTTTTATGTGAGTCAAAAAGCTAGAACTGAGGTAGTCTAGATCTGAGGCAGTAAAATAGCCAATATCACTAGTCTAATGAGTGGATATGTTGTCTCCCTAATTTATACCGGCCCCCGTAGGTACCCCATTGCCTGATGGCAAGTGGATTTTATTCAGGGCAACCAATTTTCATGTCCAACTTGCCATGAGGGCAAGTGGTCAAAAAAGTTAAGTTACACCACTGAAGATGTCCCATCTTTTGCTGTCAGGTTATGAAGATGTCCCATGTGGAAGCTTAAAAGGACAAAACCCCATGCTTTGCCATATTTACTCGTTCTCCCAGGACTATAAATCTGATTGGTTCAAAATGAAAAAATATGCTAAAATTATAAACAAACACGGCGGATGCATTATTGAGAGGTGTTTCGTTGAGTTTTGCATTGAAAAGAGCTTAAAGGCCATGATTTACGGTTGAACAAGAAAGGTATGTATGAACTTTGTTCATGAAGCTCTAGAGATATTGGCTGTGGTGTCTTCACTGGATTGCTCTGTAAGCAGCATCTCTTTCATGAGCGTGTTCGTTTTCATCTATGACAAATAGATTTTTTTCTCATGATTTTGTAGCTAACAATTTTGTGCCAGGAAAGAATGTTTATGTCTTATGAACAGGACTTGCTTTCTCTGGAGTGATGACTCCAGACACCTTTCTCTTTCCTGAATCCCTCAAACATTTAATACATCACAGTTGATCACTGTTGAAACTAATGATATTTGGACGTATCTACAATATTTTGTAGCTTTCTCGCACATGGACTGCAAACTACTTGGAACAATGATGTCCCACAGACTTCAATTTTCTTTAGCCGACACCATATATTATTTCGTTTTGAAATTTGCAAATGTAAAGCAATCTATATTTCATTTTGACAAGTAAATTTGCAAACATAAACAATCTGTATGATTAGCCAATTTTGACATCTGTTGAAAGTGGGCGTAGTCTGCAGGCTAAGTGGGCGGAAATGGCAAAACAGATCTTGTGCAGGCTATCCTTTCCTTGAGAGCTGCTATGTAGGCTATTGTTTTATAAGCGATGACTACCTGAAGTGGTTCATCCAGATCTCATGTAAACAAGGCCTATGCTAACCTGCTGCCAAAACTTGTACTGTAGTTAATATATCATCAGTATTTAATGTTTGTTCATTGACAGCAACCAGTATACTAATCAGGTATATTAATCATATATTCACTCGGTACTCTGGTTTATATCTATATGAATACAAAGCCCAGTTGAATTGTAATTAAAAATATTTTTATTAAAACCTACATAGTGAATATCATTTATACAATTTATAACACATGCTAAAACATTATTTATACACCATTTAGACTCAAAGTTTTCCGTCTCCATGATACACTGTTCTGTTTTCAATCGATTTCGCACGTAATTCTTAAAATAACATAAGACTGTTAATTTTCTTGTCCTTCTTGAACTGATGTGACACTTGTTCTTTCCACTCAGAAAATTTTCCAACACTGATTAAGTAATGCAGAAGGT